GATAGATAGATAGATAGATAGTACAGAATGATGGATGGATGGATGGATTGATAGATAGATAGAAGTACAGAATGATGGCTGGATGGATGGATGGATAGAATTACAGAATGATGAAATGATGGATGGATGGATGAATAGAAGATTAGACTACTGTAACTCACTTTATGCTGGGATTAGTCAAACAGCTTTATCCCGATTACAATTGGTTCAGAATGCTGCAGCTAGACTTTTGACCGGGGTTCATAAACGGGATCATATTACTCCAGTTTTACAGTCCTTACACTGGCTACCTGTGCATTACAGAGTAGATTTTAAAATTTTACTTATTGTCTATAAGTCACTAAATGGTATTGCTCCATCATATATCTCTGATTTATTGGTTGAGCACAATGTAACCAGATCCCTCCGGTCTTCAGAAGGATGGATGGATGGATAGAAGTACAGAATGATGGATGGATGGATAGAGTACAAAATGATAGATGGTTGATAGAAGTACAGAATGATGGATGGATGGTAGTAGTAGTACAGAATGATGGATGGATGATAGAAGCACAAAATGATGGATGGATGGATGGATAGAAGTATAAAATGATGGATGGATGGATAGAAGTACAAAATGATGGATGGATGGATAGAAGTATAGAATGATGGATGGATGGATGGATGGAAGTACAGAATGGTGGATGAATGGATGGATGGATGTATAGAATGTTGGATGGATGGATAGAAGCACAGAAGGATGGATGGATGGATAGAAGTACAAAATGATGGATGGATGGATAGAAGTACAGAATGATAGATGGATGGATAGAAGTACAGAAGGATGGATGGATAGAAGTACAAAATGATAGATGGTTGATAGAAGTACAGAATGATGGATAGATGGATGGATAGAAGTACAGAATGATGGATGGATTATAGAAGTACGGAATGGTGGATGGATGGATGGATGGTAGTAGTACAGAATGATGGATGATAGAAGTACAACATGATGGATGGATGGATAGAAGTACAGAATGATGGATGGATAGAAGTACAGAAGGATGGATGGATGGATAGAAGTACAGAATGATGGATGGATAGAAGTACAGAATGATGGATGGATAGAAGTACAGAATGATGGATGATGATAGAAGTACAGAATGATGAATGGATTGATGGAAGTACAGAGGGAAGGATGGATGAATGATGGATGGATAGTAGTGCAGACAGAGCGATAGACAGAATGATAGAATGATAAAACGCTGGGCAGGATGGACAGAGGGATGAGTAATTGGCTGAATAAATATTTGGATGGATGAAAGACGGATGTTTAGATAAATGGATGGATAATTGGATGAATAGTTGGTTAAATCGATGGATGGAAGGTTGGATGAATAAATATGTGGATGGATGAATATCTAAAAACACTGATGAATTGATAAATGGATGATAAATGGGAGAATATTCGGTTAAATGGATGGATGGAGTGATGAATAACTGGATGGATGATGGATGAATGGGTAGGTGGAGGATGGTCGGATGAATAAATATGTAGATGGATAGGCAGTTATGTGTATGTACAGTATGGATGATGGATGGATTGATATCTGGTTGAGTAAATGGATGGATGGGTGGATGGATGGACTGTTGGGTGAATAAATAGGTGCATGGATGGATGAGCTTGTGTTTCTCTCTTTCTTTTTCAGATCTGTGTGATTTGAGGAGCAGCTCAGAATGGACTGAAGCTTTAGATGAAGCCACAACTGAAACCTTGAAAAGTCCCCTTCCTCTGGAGGTCTTCAAGGTATGTGTGTGTGTGTGTTTTGGGAAAGTTAGAGCAATGTTTTACACAAAGCTCTTGAGAACTTTGACAACTGATATCTGTATGTGTGTGTTTCAGGATCACGCTGACCTGAGCACACACTCCTTCAGGGCAGGAATGAAGCTTGAAATGGTGTCACCCAAGGAACCCTTCCACATCTGCCCTGTGTCTGTAACTAAAGTATGCTTTCACACACACACACACACACACACTAGATGAAGGGTTATTATGCTAGAGGTTATAATTACTAGCCACCTACCCTGACATCAGTCTCTCTTTGTCTCACACATGTCTTTCTGTTCTGCAGGTCTATAATGAATACTACTTTCAGATCAGAGTTGATGACCTCACAGCTGAAGCCACGCCCACTCGTGCGGTGTGTCACGCTGACTCACCGGGCATCCTGCCAGTGCAGTGGTGTCTGAAGAATGGTGTTGGACTGGAGAGGCCACAAGGTGGGCGTGACAGTGTTAATGGGATTTTTGCTCTATTAAATTCATATTCACTTAACACGAGTCTTTATCAATGCTGTTTGCCTCTTATCTCAATTTTATTTTCAGTTCAGTGTGATTTATTGGTGTGGTATGTATTAGTATTGCCAAAGCATTTGCACTGCTGAAGCAGATAATGAAATTAGTAAAAATAATAAAATAATTAGTAAAATAATAATAATGGAAAATAAAGTCAGAAATACAAATAAAGTATAAAAAATCAATGTGAATGTTAATATAAAATAATACAAATCTAATGACATTACCTATCATTACACATAACATAAACATGAAAATAGAGTACAAATGATATAGTACAATTAAACTATATTTGCTCATAATATGTCTCGCTCTGTTTCTCTCACTCGCTCTGCCCCTCTTATCATCTCTCTATCTCATTTTTTTTTTCTCAATGTCTCATTTTCTGTCAGGTTTTGAGTCACAAGACTTCGATTGGGCGGACTATCTCAAACACACTGGCGCTGAAGCCGCTCCAGATGTGTGTTTCCCAAACGTAAGGCACTTTATCTTGATGTCCCCCCCCCCGCCTCGTCTTCAGATGAACGTGTGTGTGTGGTTTGATGGTGTCTGAATGAGGCTTTGGGATTTCTTCTTTATTAGATAAAGTCTGATGACAGTGTGCCAACTACTGGGTTTCCCCACTGCGATGTTGGTCACACTGACACACGCAAGGTGCCAAAAGATTGTTTTGTCTTTTAGAGAAATACCCCTCCCCTCTTGAGTTCAAAGTTGACTATGAACAACATAGTCAGGAACTATAAATTATGATGATTTCCTGGCAAGGGATACACTTCCTAAAATATATAAGTTTATATAGTTATGCATATATATATATATATATATATAAAAGTATGCATATATATATAAGTGATGTATACGTTTTTTTTTGTTAAACAGTATAATATATGAATAAATACATAAATAAAAATTGTGTAAGGACAATATGTACCTTTTTATTATTAAAATATTATAATAATAGTAATATACTTAATTTGTATTACCGTAAGTTGACAGTATGTTTTCTGTCTAACTTGTATTACCATTAGATACATAAATCGAGAAATATTTGTCATTATTTAAAAATTTTAATTATTATGAGCATAAATATTGTCACAAAGCAGCATTATGTGTGTGTGTGTGTGTGTGTGTGTCATGGGACATGATCTTTACTTAATATCCTAATAATTTTTGGCATAAAAGAAAAAATTATAATTTTGACCCATACAATGTATTGGTGGCTATTGCTACATTACAAATATACCCGTGCTACTTATGACTGCTTTTGACTGGTTTTTAGTTTTACATAAAAGATGTTACATAAAAGGTATATCTTTTCATAAAATCAACATATTTTTTTTCTCAGATTTTCTGCGGAGCCCCTATCTCTGACATGTAAACTAAGGTTAATTAATGATGTTAATTAATGTTTTGCATCATAAATGTTACTAGACACTCACAACTGAAACACTGAATCGACCAATCAGCATTTTAAAGCCCATCGAAATTCCACTAATTATGTTGGAATTAGAGACAAAAGCTGTGACTGCAGGCTTGTTTGTTGTTTATTTTGCACCAATTATCGGATGTAAATGGTGATAAGTTGTATGAATCTTGTTTTCCAATATTTTGGAGGACTCATTGAAACTTTTGTGTAAAAAAAAAAAAAATCTATTTTCCTCGACTATGTATCTGCCTCATTATCCAGTTTGTTTGTACTTATTGTGATATGCATTGTTTTATGTAATTGGACACATGGCGCTTCTCCACTGACCTATTTTTCTGCATTGTGTGTGATCAGGCGTCTCAGAGCAGGGGCTTCTGTAAGGATATGTGGCTTGAAGCCGTGAATCCACTCCAACCTTCCGAACTCTGCGTCGCTCGCATCACTCAGGTCAAAGGTCGGCTACTCTGGCTCAGACTGGAAGGTAGGAATAAACAGAGTACATACTGTTTGTTGACCTTCTTTACGTATTATTTAATAGAAATCTCTCAAGGCCATGATCTTAGAGTGAATACCAAAAGATATTACACACTGACATGTTGACACGGTTTTCACCTCTGCTCTCTGTCTTTGTTTTTAGGTCTGACTAAGCCGCAACCAGATTGCATAGTGGATGTTGAGAGCATGAATATCTTCCCTGTGGGCTGGTGTGAAGCTAATGGCTATCCGCTAACACATTTACTAAAGACAGTCTGTGAGTGTCAAGTACTGATGGTTTCTTATATGTCTTTGACTGCGACATATGCTTTCAATCTGACTTTACTTTATAAAAAGGAACATATTTTAAATGCTGCAACAAATTTGGCTTTTTAGCCATGTTTGCGTGAAAATCAGTTTGAGTTGCTAAAATTAAAATGTTAAAAAGGCATAATTCTGTTATTTATTTTAAAATATTTACATTTTTTAATATATATTTAAATAGATAGCAATACTTACATTTTTTAACAAAAAATTATTTTAACATTAAGTTGCAGCATAAACACAATGTGAAAAAATGGGTCCGAATAATTTCTGAATCCACTGTATATTTTTTGTACACTGTAAGAAAAAAAAATCAGTAGAAAAGCAGAAAACATTCCTTTAACCCTAAAACAAAACGTTTAAAAATTCGAAATACGAAAAAAAAAAAAACCTGTGAAAAAATCAATACAGAAAATTCCTTCATATTAACACACTTTTTTGCAGATTTTCTTTGACTGTATTCATACACTAAAATGTTTAATTGTTTATACACTGCTATTCGTAAATGCAATTTTTATAAAAAAAACTCTTGTATAGTAGGCTTGCCGCAATAGACGGTGTTGACGGTGATACCGGTGTTAAGCCGCAACACCGGTTACGTCACTTGCCCACCGCATCACCGACCCACACCGTCGTTTAGATTTTTTATAGTAATAAAAATCATTTAGTTCAGTAAAAGAACAGACACTACAATTAAAAACTGAACGCGGCTGCTCAATGCAGCGTGCCGAACGACAGTCGCATCACAGATCAGATTTCATTTCTCCAGTGAGGAGAGTGACGGTGGGAAAATTTCCTCACCGTCACAACCCTATTGTATAGTAAAACTGGAAAATTCATGGAAATTCTCTGGTGAAAAGATTTGGAGAGCTCTGAAAAATGTATGACAATGTGAAAAAAGGAATTTTTACCAATGAGATCAGTGCAACCTGATGGCAAAATACTGTAAACCAAGACAACTTTAATAAGACCTGTTGTACGTCATTTGTCGTGGATGGTAATAAAGCAATACAGTAATAACAGCTCTCACTTTTACATAAACAGTGCATATCGGACTCTGCTCTTTCAAAGCAAACCAAAAAAGATTTTTCATAATTTCAAGGCATTTTCAGAGAACAAAGAAAAATCCTTTCCAGAGAAATACCCCTACTTTCCCCAGTGAGTCATGTTTTTTTATGGTATTTCAGGTTTGCCTCAGAAGAAGATTGCCGTTGTTCAGCCTGAGAAACAGTGAGTAGATATACTCATGGACATTTTAACCATGAGCCTTTGTGGTTGTTTTGCTAGAAAGTGTGGGACTTTTTACCTAAACATGTCATGCATGAGACTCATCTACTTCTTGTTTTGAAAATATATGTTGATGCTGTATTTTTTTCATGTTCGATCATTTCTGTGGTTTTGAATAGGATGGCAATACCTTGATTTAGATTGATTGATTGTTTTTTTTAGGTTGGCCCCCTCACAGCCTCCTGATGCCCCTCTTAACCTGTGCTCATCCATGGATACAGGTTTACTAAATATTCTACCAATAATATCATTTTAATTCATGTCATATAAACATTGTCTACACAACTGGATTTTGTGCTAATATTGCTAATCTACTGTATGTGTTATCTAGGTTTGGTGAATGGAAAATACTGTTGTTCCCAGCTCTTCGTCAACCACCACTGTTTCTCTGGTCCGTATCTCAACAAAGGCCGAATCTCTGAGTTACCAAAGGCCGTTGGGCCCGGAAAGTGTGCTGTAGTCCTCAAAGAGGTACAGTCCTCTCTGACTTGTCGCAAATAATATGAAGAATTTGAGATTTTTTAAATGTACATGAATGTACACAATAAAGAAAAGTGTAGATGCTGAATCTGCAAGTTTTTCCACCAGTTTTAATCAATTATGCCTTCAATAGTTTATTTCAAATAGGGTATGATTATTATTTAATTACAATTCTACATTAACATGAGGTGATACAAGTTATGCATGCACAATAATTATAGAAATAAAAGAACAGTTGCCTACTAGCTGTGGTGCATATGCACATGTGTTTGTGTGTAGGTGTGTTTGAATGTTTGTTTATATTTATGTAACATGATTCCGATGTATTCACGGAGATGTTATTTTCTCACAGATTCTGATGATGTTAATAAACTCAGCATATAAACCCGGCCGTGTGCTCAGAGAGCTGCAGATGGTGGAAGACCCACAGTGGAACTGTCAGGAGGAAACCCTGAAAGCCAAGTATGAACACACACACATTCATGTTTACTTAGTTATCTAAATGACAGTATACCATAGACATTGATTCGTTTTATATAATGCTAATTTAGACAGACTAAACCCATCCGTAACAGAATAGGTTTTGTATTTTTAGAATTAAAAAGATTTATAAATATATTTTATAAAACAATGACATCAAATACAGGTTTTGTCAGATTTAGCTAACTTCTTATGACATAAGACAAATTATCAGATTGATGTAATTGTGCACTTGTATGTGGAAATATCTTTTTTCAACAGTTTTTTGTTTTAAATAAATTGTTTGTTAGTAGCTAGTATTCATTCTGCAAATTATTTTTTATTTATTTTTTTACAATTCATTATTTTTGTTGATTCAGTTGAAGTCACTCAACTATAATAGATGACTTTGTTTAGGGGTAAAATTGTGTGGTTGGAACAATATAATAATAATAATTATTATTAGTAGTAGTAGTAGTAGTATTTACTTTTATAAATAAGATTGGGAACTATTCTATTAAGTATTTAATTTTCAATTTAAATATTGTTCTTTACTATAATTAACAATTAATAAGATTTGACACATTCTATATACTAATTGAACAGAGAGTGAAATAATCACAATTTTATTTAAAAAAAAGTACTTCTTTTGTATAGAATCCCGTTTCATGGTAACATGGTAAAAAACATTATTGCAACTTTTTATCTCACAATTCTGACTTTTCTTCTCAAAATAGTAAGTTTGTATCTCGCAATTCTGACTTTTTATCTTACATTAAAAAAATGTACTTCTTTTGTATAGAATCCCGTTTCATGGTAACATGGTAAAAAACATTATTGCAACTTTTTATCTCACAATTCTGACTTTTCTTCTCAAAATAGTAAGTTTGTATCTCGCAATTCTGACTTTTTATCTTACAATTCTGAGTTAATACCTTGTAATTTTTTGACTCGCAAGGCTTTTTTTCCCTAAGAATTGTGAGTTTATATCTCGCAATTCTGACGTTTTTTCCTCAGAATTGAGTTTATTTCTATTATAGGCTTTCTCGAAATCCTATTTTTTTTATCAGAATTTGTAAATTGTGCAATTGTGCGTTTATAAGACAAAATTCCGAAATACAAACTCACAAGTCAGAGTTGTGAGATGTTAACTTGCAATTGCGAGATAAACTCACAATTCTGAGAAAAGTCAAAATTGTAAGATGTAAACTTGCAATTGTGAGAAAGAAAGTCAGAATTGTGAGATAATTACTTTTTTTTTTTTTTTTTTTCCATGGCGGAAACAAGCTTTGCGTACTTTTGTCTGATGACTTAAGCTTATTATTTCTGTTTACCTGCTCATTAAAAAGACTTTCCGATGCTATTGAGTCTGTGTGTGTGTGTAATTCTAAAAGCAAAAATATTACTGATAAATTAGTCAACATACAAAATTAAAGTGCATTCATAATGAACAGAGAGCTGTCCTTCATTTGCATAATGAGATTTTAAGCCAGCTGATTAGCATAGTCATGTGTATGTGAGCCGAATATCTAAAATGTTTCATTTTCATAATGTTCTTGATGGTGGAAACACATTTGCTTGTTTATAGATACAAAGGGAAAAGCTATCGGTCCACCATGAGGATCGTCCGAACAGCAGATCAAGTGTCGGAGTTTTGTCGTCGAGTATGCGAGCGACTTCAGTGTTGTCCGAATCTTTTCGGTCCAACAATCGTGTCCGACAAGTGCCCTGAAAACTGCTTCAGTCAGACCAAGACCAAATACAGTGAGTGTTTTATTCCTCTATGGTGATGAAAAGTGATGTTTGCTCTAACTTGGAATTAAAATGACATGTTTCTCAAGAGCAAGGTATTATTTTCTCCAGAAACACACACAGATACACTCAAACTCATACGTAGCTCTTGCTAACTGTCAATAATTGTGTGTGTGTGTGTTCATTTATGTCTGATGTAGCATATTACAAGAAGAGGAAAGTTGGACGCCCAAGTTTAGGGGAGAATGCACAGGACGGTGACATGACCAAACCAGCACGACGCCGAAAGAAACGCAAAGCCATCTTTGTCCAGAAGAAACGACGCACTTCCATTGTGGGATACCACACCACAGAGTCACCTCAGGTCTGCCAAACCAAAAACACACACTCAGAAATATTCACTTGCATCTCACTTGTAACTCCTGCGAGTAAGCAAATGCAAGCGCATATAAAAGTACAAAAGTGCATATGTTTCCAACGACAAATATTTTGTATGTGCGCACTAAACATGAAATGTTGCATAATCACAGCCAACCACAACACATTTTGTTTAATTAACTATGCAAAGCAGGTACTTTGACCAATTAGATTTTTGTGTGGGTGGAGTGCACTGCAAAAATCATTTATTTTAAATCATTATTAATAAATTATTATTTTAAATGGAACAGTCATTTTCACAGTAAAAATATCCAAACATTCTTAAAATGTCAAATGAATGCTTTACTTTAAGCTTTTATATAATGCATTTTAATCCATTAATTATGACATCAACCACAGCTATAATACATTATAATACTTATCTATCACATTTGTTACATAGAACATATAATGCATTAATGCACACATGACAACCAATTTTAGATGTAACAAGGAATCTGCAAATATTATAATGCATTTTAACTTTGGTTAAAATTATTTATGAAAATATATAATGCATTACAAACATGCATTATGAATACCTTTATAATGCATTATACATAAAGGCATGGAATAAAGTGTTACTAAAAAATGGCAACTATTTATGTTTTGATTAATATACTATTCTTTTCTTGTTTTAACTATATTTGTTTAATATTTAATTTTAGTTTTATGCTAAAACAACTAAAAAAACTCTCAGTGGGGTAAAAACTAGATTTAATTCAAGACTGAAAAGATTTTATTTATTTTTTGATAAGAATCCGTTTTCTCAAGTAAATTGATCTGTTCTAAGGATTTTTAGATTCTTTTTTTTTCTGGATATTAAGACAAAAATACAGATTACTGATCAGTGACTGAATTACTTTGTTTCAGCGTGCAAGAAACCAGCCAACTGTTAAAATTTATTATTTTTTTTATCCGATTAACATGGAAAAGATATGATTTTTTAATGTTATCGCACATCAAGCCTGGTTAAAGTCAAACTCGGTGTTAGTAAAATTTTGCCCACAAAAAAAATGTGATGTAACGATGCACAAAGCGCCACTCACACAGAAAACACTTTAAAATAACCAAGCGGCATTCTGTTGGTCAATATGACAAATTTGCGTGAAAAACTTGAACCCAACACAGAAACTATGTGGGGAAGAAACTGATGTGAAATTTCCAATTGTGTATTCAAATTATATTTGTGGCCAAGAAATGTAGCCAAACAATGGTAAATGTGACCACACCTTAAGATCTAGTGTAAGACTTTTCCTGTTTCTTCACAGGATAGCGATTATTACTATGATGATGAGGAAGAAGATTTTGAGGAGTGGGGCAGTGAAGTGAGTTCCAGCTCACCGCGTGAGGAGGCCTCTGCCCACTCCTTCAAGGACATCCCGAGGAGAGGAAGACCACCGCGCCGTGCTGCTCTTCAGCGCAGGGCGACCCATCCAGGGCCAGAAACCACCGACAGATCCTCTCCCAGAAGAACCACACGCTCTGTTTCTTACAGCCAGAACCAGACGGCCAAAAACACACACACAAAGGTAAAACGTCTACATAGACTTAATGTGTAAATTAATTTTCTAAATGTAAGATCTTTCATCTATATCAGATTCTATTAGTTAAGCTGAACTGTGCTTGTGTGCATATGTAGACTGAGAGATTTGAAGAGGAAGATCGTCTGGTGTTAGAGAGGAATCCTCTGGAATGGAGCGTCTCTGATGTGGTTGACTTCATCACATCCACAGATTGTGCCTCTCTAGCAAAGATATTCCAAGAGCAGGTACAGTACACTAACTAACCTATCATTTGGCCCTTCTTTGGGGCCTACTTCATATCAAGTTATCAAGAAAATATTTAGATTTCTAGGCTAATCATTGTGCAGTCAGTATGACAGAGGACATCTAGAATGCATTGCTTTTTATTGAAATCAAAATTGACCCTTTTTACTTTGTTTTGCTAATGTTCTTGGTCTATGGTGGTCTTGGTCTTGGTCTACATTTGCTCTCAGGGTGTGCAAAACTGAAGCAAACAAGAACAAGCAAAACCGGTAAAACAAAATCAAATATTTATGTTAACCCATACACCTTTTTTCCTTCTCAAGGACATTGATGGACAGGCCCTGTTGCTGCTGACCCTTCCTACAGTCCAAGAATGTATGGACCTAAAGCTCGGCCCCGCCATCAAACTCTGTCATCAGATCGAGCGAGTCAAAGTGGCCTTCTACTCCCAGTTCGCTAACTAAGCTAACCTTCTTGGCGGACATAAATCAACAGACACCTATGTATTGTGCTCAGGGGATATAAAGAGTCATTCCATCTGTCAGGAAACCTCAGGTTGCCTCATACCGAATGGATTTTTTTCGATATGAGATTTAGTCATGGAATATGACATAATTTCTGCTTCCCTGCTAAAGAAAACTGCTGAAGGTTGCTGGTTTTAGCTGGTTTGAGCTGGTCTACCTGGTCTCCCAGCCTAGTCAAACTGACCTTTAGAGGATTTAACTGGATGGCCAGCTGGTCAAGTACCAAAAACCTCTTTAAAACAACCTTCCACTCTTGAAAATAAAGGTTCCAAAAGGGGTTTTTCACAGTGATGCCATAGAAAAACCATTTTTGGTTCCCCAAAGAATCTTTCAGTGAACAGTTCTTCTTTTTTTCTTAGTGAGAAGAACCTTTTCCCACTATTAAGAACCTTTTGTGGAATGGAAAGATTCCAAGGATGTTAAAGGTTCTTCAAGGAACCATTGTTGCCAATAAAGAACCTTTATTTTTCAAGAGTGCAGTTTTTTTCAGCAGTGTGGTGAAGACAAACCAAACAATCTAGGGGAAGTTTAGGTTTGGTTGGAGTTCCAGAAGTTTCAAAAGAACGTCTCTAGTATGAAGACATCCTCTATGGGAATAAGTACTCATCTAAACTGAAAGGCAGTTCAACTGTGAAAAACCTCCAACCCCTGAATTCACTGCAGAACTATCTGAAATTGTATTCGTCTTTTAAGACCAAATTATATTTATAATGGCGAATTATATATGAAGTATTAACTTCGGAAGTGAACTAATATATTTGTAATATTTATTTTGTTCTGATAAACTATTTTTAAAATGTTTGTTAGGAGGTTAGTGACGATTTACCACCTGAAAAATCTAGGTTTGGCAACTTGCATAATGAATTAGGGAATATTATTAATATCAAGACTGATATTTGATATAAACTTTAGATGTTGTTTCAGTACTGCCACGCCCCTTGCTCCGTCTTTCAGCAAAAGCTTTTTGGCTAAATGTACTCCCTCATGTTGTGGAAGCTGTCCTCAGTAAAATGCGCAGCACACAATAGCAAATTGGAGTTATAATGCTCAGGAACAGAGTTAAAAAATAAATTGCAACCACTGTTTCCTGACATCATCAGCGTTCAGAAGCTCAAACAAAGACGTTTGGGCACGGAGGTGAAAAAAAACAGCATTTCAGGCAGTCGCACACCAGACGAGAAGCGCAGCGTTGCACCACGTCTTTAAAATTCGAACACATTATTTTCTATGAGTGTATGCACACCGGCGCCGCCGTTCGGCGTCTGTCCGCAGTGCCTTTTGAGCGCTTCTCGTCCAGTCTGCGACCGCCTTTAGACATGCGGAAAACGTGATGCTACAGCACAGCAGCTCTTCTTCTTCGTTTTGTCTGATGCACTAACTCTGCAGCAGCACTTCTTCTCCGTCGTCGTCTTGCCTGATGCACTCAACCAAGCGTTCTAACCACGACCTCGCCCCTCCCCACCCCCCAACCATTAGAATTTCTGTAGGCGGGAATTATTTTAATGACATAACAAAGCCCGGAAACCAATGCTGTAGTCCAAACGAGCCGTTCGTTGTAGTTCTTGAAAAGGGGTTTTTTAACCCCTTTAAGGTTTCTTGGCTGTGGTTTGGCAACTCGAAGTTTCAGCTCCCTCCACAGATTTTCTATAGGATTGAGGTCTGGAGACTGGCTAGGCCACTCCATGACCTTGATGTGCTTCTTCTTGAGCCACTCCTTTGTTGCCTTGGCGGTATGTTTTGGGTCACTGTAATCCTTGGAAGACTTATCCATGACCCATCTTCAGTGTTCTGGCTGAGGGAAGGAGGTCTCCGTCCAAGATTTTACAGTACATGGCCACGTCCATTTGCCCCTCAATGCGGTGAAGTCGTCCTGTACCCTTAGCAGAAAAACAGCCCCAAAGCATAATGTTTCCACCTCCGTGCTTGACTGTAGGGATGGTGTTCTTGGGGTCATAGTCAGCATTTCTCTCCCTC